AAAAAAAAAAAAAAAAAAAAAAAAAGGAAGTATGGTTCTTTCATTTTCCACCTTGACTTCTCCTTTTCTTTCCTTTGCTCTCCCTCTGTTAGGCAACTTATTTATCACTTTAGTGCCATGGTTTTCTCTCTCAGTTAAGAAATGTCATGGTCACAAATTAATCTTTTAGGAATTTGGCCCTTTTTCCTCCTTTATTTTGAAAGACAACACTATAGGAAATATGAAATGACTAATTATATCCCTCCTGTTTCTTTCCAAGTCAAACTCTGGGGAGTACAGAAGTAAATTTTAGATTATATATGTAGCTCCATTCCTTACACCATTTGTACCCTTCCAGAAAATAGATAGCAAAAATTACTGGTGACTAATTAAGATAGACTCAAGGGAAGACTAAAGAATGAGGAAGGATTTTATTTTTCTCTTCACACATTAAGAGAATTGTTTTGTTACTTTGCTGTCAGGCTTGTTTAGTACCCACAAAGCACAAAACAGCATTTACAATGTTTATTGTTCCTTCTGTTAAAAATCATATAGATCATAGAGGAATTGAAATGTTTGATTTTGTACTATTTTAGCCAGTTACATTCAAACTTTTTTCTTGGCTAGAATCTTGGAATTTTAGGGCTAACTATATCATTTTATCCTCTCTGTTACAGTGTGCTTGAACCCTGCTGCCACTTAATACCTAATGAAGTAAACGTTTCCCTGGGAAGCTTAGTTATAAAATGGTTCTTCATATAGAACAGAAATCTGTCTGTGATTGCTACTCTTTGGCCCTCATTCTTGGGGTATCTAGAACATCTAATCACATTCATATGACATTATCTTCCAGTTTTGGAGACAGCTAGCATATTTTCCCTGAGTCTTATCTAGTTCTTCTCTTTTGTTTGTTTGTGACAGAGTCTCATTCTTTTGCCCAGGCTGGAGTGCAGTGGCGCGATCTCGGCTCACTGCAGCCTCCACCTCCTGGGTTCACGCATTCTCCTGCCTCAGCCTCCTGAGTAGCTGGGACTACAGGTGCCCGCCACCATGCCCGGCTAATTTTTGTATTTTTAGTAGAGACGGGGTTTCACTATGTTGGCCAGGATGATCTTGATCTCTTGACCTTGTTTTCCACCTGCCTTGGCTTCCCAAAGTGCTGGCATTACAGACATGATGCCCAGCCTAGTTCTTTTCTTTTAGAATGTCTCCTTTGGGCACCCTGCAACTACATTCCATGGAACAAGGTGTACATGAGAGCAAGGGGATTGCTTTCCATGGGGGAGCCTACTTCTCCACTGGACCATGCTTTGGATATATGAAATCCCAGAATTCTCTACCAGATGGTCCTGAACCTACTAATGGCCCTGCATGAGCCTTTTCTCTGCATCTGTCCTCCCAGTGGCAGACTGTACAACCAATGTGTGTACTCTTGAGGGGTGGCCAAGCTGTTCGTTGTGTAGGGGTGGATGGAGTTTTAATGTAGTAGCTGGGATAACCACATAGCTTAAGAAATTTGAGCTGCCATGACAGATATCACAGAGTTTGTAGCTTAAACAACAGAAATATTATTTTTCACAGCCCTGGAGGTTGGAAGTCCAAAATCAGGGTGCCAGCATGGTCAGGTTGTGGTGAGGGCCTTCTCTGTGGTTTGCAGATGGCTGTCTCTTCTTATATAAGAACACTAATCTCACTGTGAGGGCTCCATCCTCATAACCTTCCCACCTCCTAATACCATCACACTGGGGATTAGGGCTTGAGTATATGAATTTTGGGGGAAGACAGACATCCAGTTCATAGCACCACACATGAGCTTCCATGGCTGTTTGTGGTGTGGGATGGAAGAGAATGGGTCTGGTTGTCTCATGCTGCCCAAACTCACAGTAGTTCTAAATTGGTATCTGCCTTCCAGGTCATTATAGGAGTGTACTCATCAAGGTAAGAGGCTAGAATATATTTTATTTGGTAAGTTTTATCTTGATGGATAGCTGTAAAATATTTAGGCCGATGACATTTAAGCCTTCATTTGTACTTCTGTCCCAGACCCTGTTAACGTGGTCTCTCCAAACCAAACACTCCCAGTCTTGCAACCAGGCTTCAGGTGGCAAAGTTCCAAGCCCTCTCACCATTTGGTTTTTAATAGAACATATTAACTAAAAATGGTATTTCCTGTGTGGTCTGCTCAGCAGAGTTAAGTACTTTATTGTTTTTCCTCATGTTCCAGGTCAAGGCACTATGGACCTATGTTATCAATATGTTTTTTAAATCATTATTTCATGTGGATATAAAGCTTTACCAAAGCAAAAACAATCACCCGTCTTCAGTGGATTCCTGTATTTTTACTTTCTTTCTTGCTCTAAAGACTGCTACTTTGAAAAGTTTGGTTGTTAGGTATTTCTGCCACAAATATAATGAGCATGGGCTTTCACATTTTCTTTCTTGGCAAACTTGTACTCATATGGAAAATCTTTAGTTGAGAGAAAGAACTTTTTTGCTTTCTTGAGTTATACAGTAACTTTTGCCATCATATCTCTCAGCTCAGAGGGTTTAGATCTAATTCTTCCCTGGAGACAGATGCATTTAAAGATGCATTAAAAGATGCATATGGAAAATCTTTAGTTGAAAGAAAGAACTTTTTTCCTTTCTTGAGTTATACAGTAACCTTTGCTGTAATTAAAACTCCAGAGAGTCTATTATTAGCAGTACCAAAATATAAACCAAAATGAGGGTAATATCATCTTAAATCATATCAGTATCATTTTAAAAGTTGTTATAATTAAAAGTTTATGTAACTCATTAAATGCAAAGAAAACAAAATTTTTATCCAAAGGAAGATTGAAGGATCGTACATAGAATGTTAATAAGTTTGTATAATTGAAATGAGTGCCTTCTCTCACAGTTTACTCAATCGAATGTAATAAAACCAATTTTGTATCTAATAGTTTATAATTAATATGATATTTGGGTTTTTACAGATTTTACAGATTTATGTTATTTATAGATAATTATTTTCCATTATAGGTGATTCAGCAGACATGTCAGGTAAGGAAAACTAAACATTTTCTGCTATATTTATATTGTTTGGTGATGATAGTGCATATTAAACTTAAGTTCAAGTATATTAGTCCGTTCCTGCATTGCTATAAAGAACTACCTGAAACTGGGTAATTTACAAAGAAAATGTTTAATTGGCTCACAGCTCCACAGGCTGTACAGGAAGCATGGCTGGGGAGGCCTCAGGAAATTTACAATCATGGTGGAAGGCAAAGGGGAAGCAGGTATGTCCTACACGGCTGAAGCAGGAGGAAGAGAAAGGGGAAGTGCTACATGTTTAAACAAGCAGATCTCATGAGAACTCACAATCACAGAACAGCAAGGGGGAAATCCACCCCCATGATCCAATCACCTCCCACCAGTCCCCTCCTCCAACACTGGGGGTTACTATTCAACGTGCGATTTGGGCAAGGACATAAATCCAAACCATATCATCAAGTATCTTGTTACTCTATAAAGAACTTCCGGATTATTTTTTTCATTAAGAATATATTATTTTAATGTCATGATTCTGAACTCAGCCTGTGGTAATAGTAATGGTTTTTTTGGACAAGCATGGTAGCTCACACCTGTAATCCCAGCACTTTGGGAGGCCAAGGTCTGAGGATCCCTTGAGCGCAGGAATTCAAGACCAGCCTGGGCAACATAGTGAGACCCTGTCTCTACAAAAAATTTTTAAGAAATTAAAAAAATAATAATAATGGTTAAAAAGAGCTAATATATTTTAATCTATTTTATGTGCTCAGCACTGTTTTAAGCACTTTAAATAAAAGTTTTATTTGACATGACCATGCTTATCAAGTTACATATGTTCTGTGGCAGCTTTTGTGCTACAATGGCAGAGGTGTGTAGTAGCTACAGAGGCTATAGATGACACTCATCTGTTTGCACTGCTTTTTGGTACCCTGCAGGTTCCAGTAACACAATTATAATTCACTGATTTTGAGCACTATCTGTTATCTCTTGTTATTTTATTCTGGTTTTTAACCAGTAAATCTCCATCATGTCAAAACAAGGGTAAAAACAAAAATAGTTTTTGAATATCACACTTTTAAGGCACAGTGAAGCATGGATTGTATTGTAATCAAATGAGATGACAGGCTGAGTATGGTGGCTTACACCTGTAATCCCAGCACTTTGGGAGGCTGAGAGAGGACGACCGCTTGAGGCCAGCAGTTCAAGTCCAGCCTGGGCTGTTGCCGAGACAGCAAGATGCTGTCTCTACAAAAAACAAACAAACAAAAAAAGAAAAATTAAAAAACCTTGATGATTTGAGTTGAGATGGCAATAAATGTGATAAAAACAATAAATGAGATGATGGCAATAAAACAAAGTATTTGTTTTCTCAGAGGTGGTAACATTCAGCTATGCCAGGAGTGGATAGCTGAGGCGTGATCTGGGGACTGCAGGCTTAGACCAGTTTCAGGGGTCCCAAGACTTCCCACACATTCGGCAGTTCACTAGGAGAAATCACAGGACTCAGAGGTACTTAAGGCTTTAGTTTATTACAGTGAACAGAAAAGGGAAAAGACACATGAGGTAGAATCTGGAGCATCTAGTTACAGGGTTTCGATGTCTCTCCAACACCCTTGTGCCAGGGTGCCACAGAACCTGCGTCTTCCTCCAGCAGTCAAATCCAGCAACACACATGAGGTGTTTCTGCCTCGGCAAGCCTACTGAAGTCTCAGAGTCCAGAGTTTTTATTGGGGGCTGGTCACACAGGGATAAAGACCAGCCTCAACTACCAAAATACCAGACGCCCTGAAGAAAGCAAGTGTTCAGCGCCCCAGGTGGACAAAAGAGCTTTGTCAACATGGAGAACACTTCAAACGTTCTTACACACTGGCCAAGAGCTAGCCCAGCAAGCAGGCCCTTCTGATGACAGTAACCTTGGTCCTGCTTATATTAAATCTTTCCTGCGTAAGCCGTAAAGCTGGATCAAGAAACTGGAAGGTCAGTGTGACTGGAGGAAGGCCTCTGAGATGAATATAGGGAGGTAGAGTGGTAATCTCATGCAGGATGTTGTAGCTCAGGGAGAAGAGTTTGGATTCATGCTAAGTGCAGAGTCTGTCACTGGAGAATTTTAAACAAGGGAGTGATGTGACCTAATTTATACTTTGAGAAAACCACTCTCACTACACTATTGAGAATGTAGAGGGGGAAGAGAGAAAACTGGAAAATTAGGGGTCCGTTATAGTAGTCCAAGCGACAGTTAAGCGGGGTGGCAGGAATGAATGTGGAGAGAACAAGACAAATATGGAGTGTATTCTGGAGTAAAGCCAGTAATCCTTTCTGATTAATTGGATATGGGGGTATGACAAAGTGAGGAATGAAGGCCAGTTGTTAACTTTTTGCTTGAACAGTGAGCTAAATGAGATGGGGAATACTTTGAGAGAAATCAGTTTGGCAGGAAGAAATTATCCACAGATATAAGGAGTGAAATTTATTCGACATTCTTTCTTGTACAAATATGGGAAGACTGGTAGATTTGGGGATGAGAAAATAAGGAAGTACTGTCTAATGACTTCTATTTTCCCTGTATCGTCAACTGAGAGTGAGGAGGTGGGGAATGGGTATTGGGTTGGAACAAGGATAAAGTTTTTAAATTGTCACTTTGGAATATGGGAGAATAAATACATTAGAAGAGATATGAGCTGGGCACAGTAGCTCACACCTTTAATCATAGCACTTTGGGTTTTTCTGTTTTGTTTTTTCTTTTTTTGAGATGGAGTTTCACTCTTATTGCCCAGGCTGGAATGCAGTGGCACAATCTTGGCTCACTGCAACTTCCATTTCCCGGGTTCAAGCATTTCTCCTGCCTCAGCCTCTTGAGTACCTGGGATTACAGGCGACTGCCACCATGCCCAGCTAATTTTTTGTATTTTTAGTAGAGATGGGGTTTCACCATGTTTTCTAGGCTGGTCTCAAACTCCTGACCTCAAGTTATCCACCCGCCTCAGCCTCCCAAAGTGCTGGGATTACAGGCATGAGCCACCACGCCCAGCAGTCCTAGCACTTTGGGAGGCTGAAGTGGGCAGATTGCTTGAACTCAGGAGTTTAAGACCAGCCTGGGCAACATGGGAAACCCCATCTCTACAAAAATATACAAAACTTAGATGGGTGTGGTGGCATGTGACTGTAGATCCAGCAACTCAGGAGGCTGAGGTAGGTAGATCAATTGAGCCCAGGAATTCGAGGCTGCAGTGTGTCATGATCGCATCATGGCACTCCAGCCTGGGTGACAGTGAGACCTTGTCTCAAAAAGAAAAAAGAAAAGTTACCATTGAACACATTAGATGTGTTTTCAGTGGACACTATGGGAATATCTTTTGTCTTTGACAAAGTAATTTCAGCCCTCCTAAGACTGTACCTTAGAATTTAGTATTTTTGATCCTTAAGGCAATTAAGTAGAGAAAACTCACTCTCTGGTCTTGCTTAGTATTTGTAGTGACAGGCAGTTGCCCATCAAATAACTTCAGTGGGTGTCTGCATTTTACAGCAGAGGATAAGGAAATTCCTTAGCACACAAGAATAAGAGGGAGGGTAGCCTTCAGAGTGTGCTGCTTCGGGAGCTTCACAATGTCATCTAGAACCCAGGGACTTTCCATCTCTTCTGCTCTGCTCTCCACAGTGTTGGCTTCACCCACAAGGCTGGTTGCATTTGTGGTCGTGAAAATGACTGTAGTAGCAATTGGAGTTACGTGCTTCCTTGCTGTTATCCAGTGGGAAAGAAGGAAGAAAATCCTTTTCAGAACTATGACCTAAAAATCCTTGCTTTTAGCCTGACTGAGTCATTGTAGCCTGACTGTGTGAGGACACAAAGCAAACCTCGAACTGAGAAGATACTAGGGGAATACCATGTGCTGATTGGTTTAAATCTGGGTTATTAAACTAATCACTGAGGTCTGGGTTGGGAGTGGAGGCAGTATTGTTACAGTGGGCTCAGACTTTATTAGTTGAGCATGCAGTTTGTTTCCCCTGAATCAGTTGCACTCTAGGAGAGAGTAGATTCCTGAATAAAATTGGAGCCTTGGTAGGAAGAAAGGATGTAATGGATGCTGAGTATGCAGTAAGGAGTTACTCACTACAGAGACTAAAGGGCAAAATACAATTGGCATACCTAATGGCCCACATTAAAATTTTCTTTTAAAATACAGTTTTTATTAGGCCAGGCATGGTGGCTCATGCCTGTAATCCTAGCACTTTGAGAGGCCGAGGCAGGCAGATCACCTGAGGTCGGGAGTTCAAGACCAGCCTGACCAACATGGAGATACCCCGTCTCTTCTAAAAATACAAAATTAGCCAGGTGTGGTGGGGGAGTGCCTGTAATCCCAGCTACTCAGGAGGCTGAGGCAGGAGAATCGCTTGAACTGGGAGACAGAGGTTGCAGTGAGCCAAGATCATGCCATTGCACTCCAGCCTGGGCAACAAGAGTGAAACTCCATCTCAAAAAAAAAAAACAGTTTTTATTATACTGTATCAAAGGCAAACTCGGGGATAAAAAATATCCTTTAAAACTTTGATTCTTGTAAGACCCAAATAACAATTTATAGAGACACTTACAGCATCTCTATACAGGAAACTAAGAGTCAAAATCGTTAGTGAAAAGTTACTGGGATTGATTTTCTGGAGGGAGCTAGATATGGGGAAAAGAGCAAGAATGGAACCTGGATCTTGAGAACAGCATACCTGTGCTGCCTCTCCCAGCTCGGAGTTGTATTAGGGCAAGTCAGTTATCCTCTCTGAGGCTGAGTTCAGGAAAAAACGTACCTACCTAGAAGGTAAGCGTTAGAAAATATGCGATGTCCCCAATGACATGCCTGCCATGATAGGTACTTAATACCTCATGGCCTCCTGGAACAGGAGGAGTAAGAGTTGTGTATGTGTTACCCAACCATCAGGAATGACCATTTCCAAATGATAGGAGAAAATACAATATACTTAATGAACATAGTTTCATCTTTAGTAACTTCGAGAGGTCCTGAAAATTTGCAGTAATTTTAGTTTTAAATACTGTTACTGATGTAAGTTTAGAGCAGTCTAAGTGTGTGGCAATTCCATTACCTTACATACTTATAGGTTTTAAAACATAAATTCTGGTTTCACCTTCTTGCCATCTCCTTTAATTTTTTATAAAAATGAGAAGCTCAGTAATAGAATTTAAGATTACTTGCTGTTTAAATTTAGATAAATAAAACTTTTAAACTTGTGGCATATTAAATTTGGAGGCAAAAATTAGTGATATTTCTTGAAAATCTACTGTCTACCTCATCACAATTTGGCAAATATAACGTGAATTGCCTAGAGGTACATTTTGTAAACATATAACAATATTTATATAATATTTATCACTGGCAAAATTTATAGAGTGATCTGGTATATAGTTACATTTTAAATTTAAGCCACCTAACATTCTTTATGGAGGTTAAATTTACCTGTGCCTTGGGGTACTTTGACTTTTAATGAATGAAGAATATTTTAATTTTAGTTCAATACTTGCATTATTGTCATACATTTTACAAACATAACCTATTATATGATGAACTTTTATGTATATTTCCATGTAGTTTTGATATTTTACAGTTGCATAAATCTTTGAACAATTTTTACTTAATGATACTCGTAAGTCTCTGGTTTAATATATTTTAACTGCTTTGAAGAACTGTCAGATTTAATTTATCATTGTGTACTACAAATAGCAGATGGCATAAAATATAATCTAAATTTATCAGAATATTTTCTTTAGAGAGTGACATTTATTTCTGCATTGAATGATTTAAGGCAGCTTGTCTTATTTAATGTTTCTCTGTTTTTAAAACATAACATTTATAATTTGAAGCAAATACACTTTAGTATTTTTATTGCTTCATTAAAAGTACTTATGTTCTGAGATTGAATTAACTGCTGAATTGACCTATCCCTATTCATTTTTATAGGGTGCAGTTCATAAAAAAGAAAATATAAAACTATAATTTTTTAACTTTAGAAAATATGGAGAACTGGGATAATTTTTTTAAGCAGCAGAAACAAGCTACACAAGATTAATAATAATAACCACATTTTTTAAAGATGAGCAGTTTTATCTTTCTCATGAAATCCTGTTTTTTAAGTACATGTCTTATAAAGTGATATGAACTTAGCTTTTTACTAGATGTCTATCTGTTTATGGTTGAAAATTTCTTTTGAGATCTATTCAGGTGGTTTCCTATCTACTGCCTTTCTCAATTTGTGTCTGCTTTTCATTTCTCTTTCAGGTAACATCAGTACTGAATGTATACTTAGTGTTTAATATCTATTGTGTAATATTTGTATAGTTCTCCATGTAATTGTATAAAGATTAAAAGTATACATAAAACATGCATTTGTTTTGAATTGTTTAAAGTTGAGATTGCCTGATTTGCTTGTCTAAATGCTGTTTTTCCAAAAATGTAATTTGGAATATAGCCAGAAGTGTTCTATATTTTTTTCCTTTTCTTTCCTCCCCACCCCCAAAACTCCTTTTCCTTTTTTAAGTTCAGTCTTAGTTTTGAGCTGTTCTTTGTTTAGTACAGTTTTTATTTGGTACATATTTATTCATGTTTCAGAGATGAATATGCATCAGCTTTAGAAACAGAAACATTTAAACAGGTAGATTACAACTTTTGATATTATCTTTATTTAGCTGCAGCTCCTTCTATTCACATCTGGGACGCAATTAACAAGCAGACTTTATCTATCCTAAGATGCTACCATTCAAAGGGAGTATGTTCAGTCAGCTTCAGTGCTACGGGCAAACTATTGCTTTCTGTGGGACTAGACCCAGAACATACTATTACCATTTGGAGATGGCAGGAAGGTAGGATTCTTTTGTGTGTTTGATTTTTAAAAAACAAGAATACAAGGGTAGTAGGAATTCTGTATTTAATATTTGCCTTAAAGTTGGTGGTTGAAATAATTACTCAGGGTAGGCCTACACAATATATGGTACACAGTTAGTGGTACTGCAGGTATATTTCACTTTAAAAGCCCAGTGAAACTGTAACCTCACAAAACCAGATAAACTAATGAAACCATTATTAGTATTACAAATGATTCGCTGCTATTTTCTTCAACAAGAAACTATGTTTATTATTAATGATTAGTTTTAGAGATTCTTATCAGTGAAAATTATGTATATTTCTAATGATAATGGCAGATCAGCAGGATAATATTACCTACCACACTTTAGACAAAATGTTTAAGTTGTATAAAGAAAAGTTAATGGAATGAAGATAAGTGAAAAGGACTCGATACACAAATAATTGTAAATCATGTATTGCTAGGTAGTAGAGCAGGGGCCATTGGCCTCTTTTCTAAGCCTTTGTTATTTGAACCATGTATTTTACATATTTGTTCGATGCTGTTGATTAGTTTGGTTCTTGTAATAACCTAGATAATTTTGTCGTATCTTGTCAGGTGCCAAAATTGCCAGCAGAGCTGGTCACAATCAACGTATTTTTGTGGCAGAATTCCGACCAGATTCAGATACCCAGTTTGTCTCAGTGGGAGTAAAACATGTGAAGTTCTGGACCCTGGCAGGAAGGGCTCTTCTTAGCAAAAAAGGGCTACTGAGCACACTGGAAGATGCCCGGATGCAGACCATGCTCGCTATTGCATTTGGTGCAGTATGTCTCTTAAAATGCATGTAGTGTGACTTTGACTACTTTACATTTTCTTGCCTTAGATCTTCAGCCACATTAATGTTGTTGATATGATACTGTGATCTGCTAATCATTACATGCCCTGGTCAAGCATGTATTTCATCTTTCAAAAATCTAGTTCTTTCAGAAATTAGGGAGTAAAAAAGAATGTTAATGAGAGGGGAAAAAGGATTTTTTTTTTTTTTTTTGACACAATATCTCACTCTGTCGCCTGGGCTGTGGTGCAGTGGTGCGATTATAGCTCACTGTAGCCTCCATCTCCCAGATTCAAGTAATCCGCCTCCTTAGTAGCTGGGACTACACGGCAGGAACCACCAGGCCTGGCTAATTTTTTTTTTCATTTTTAGTAGAGACAGGGTTTCACTATGTTGCCTAGGCTGGTCTCAAGCTCCTAAGCTCAAGTGATCCTCCCACCTTGACCTCCCAAAGTGCTGGGTTTACAGGTGTGAGCCACCATGATAAGGATTATGATGAACATTTGATTCCTTGGACTACTGTTATACTCAGAAGCCTTCCTTAATCTTGTAATTGTCACCCTAAATATCCTAAAATTTCTGTCTTCCTAGTTGTTCTTCATAGTCCTAAAAATTTGTCAGAGTAAAAGAAAGGTAAATCAAGAAACATGATTTTCAAATGACTGAAGGTGGTACTAGCGTTTAGGATTTCCTTTGCTTTTTATCATTTAACACACTGCTTATCATACAGCTGGAAATGCTCTGGGCCAGTGTCTCTACTTCAAGGGAAGAAGGAGGTAGTGAGACAGAAGGAAATAGCACAGTTCCTGGCCCTGATAGAAGTGTGTTCAGGAGCCCTGCTCTCCCCTCACTTTATTCCATCTCATCTGGACCTGTGGCTTCCAATCCACGTCTCTTTCCTTTAATATCCTGCATTGGCTAGGCTGTATTTGGTGCATCAAAAAACTAAGTGGATTTTGTAATTAAAATGTTTATGTGGGTATGCAATACTTACAGGAAAAGTTATAATTATAGAATATTTAAATACACTTAAACGTTTTTGAGAAAAAGACCATTGAAATGTTTGTGCTATGTCAAATTTCAGTTGAACATTTTGGGTATTCTTAATATAAGACCAGGCCAGGCACCGTGGCTCAGGCTGGGCACAGTGGCTCACGGCTGTAATCTTAGCATTTAGGGAGGCCGAGGCAGGCACATCACCTGAGGTCAGGAGTTCAAGACCGGCCTGGCCCACAGGGTGAAACCCCGTCTCTACTAAAAATAAAAAATCAGCCAGGCGTGGTGGCAGGTGCCTGTAATCCCAGCTACTCGGGATGCTGAGACAAGAGAATCGCTTGAACCTGGGAGGCAGAGGTTGTGATGAGCTGAGATCGCGCCATTGCACTCCAGCCTGGGCAACGAAGAGCGAAACTCTGTCTCAAAAAAATAAAAAATAAACTCTAGAATTACAGTATGTTAGAATTGGAAGGGAAGAATTGTCCAGGGTTATTCTAGCTGATAAGCAACAGACTTGGAAAGGAGAAGGTCCTGACAAAGCTAAGCCTCCAGTTCAGGTTTCCTGACTCTTGAATTCAGCGCTGCTGCTGCCACTACACGATGCATGCTCTTTTGTATCAAGGGTGAGACAGCATTGCACATACATAGAAAATTATCTGTTTGAACTCTATTTGAACTTTTGATGAGTTTGTCTCCCCCTCCCCCACTCCTTTTCAGAATAACTTGACGTTTACAGGTACCATCAGTGGTGATGTCTGTGTGTGGAAAGATCACATATTGTGTAGAATCGTGGCGAGAGCTCACAACGGGCCTGTGTTTGCCATGTACACCACCCTGCGAGATGGACTTATCGTGACTGGGGGAAAGGAAAGGCCGTGAGTCCTCTTTCTTTTCACAGAATGTTTATGCATTTGTGACCTACCTGAGGTTTGCAGTTAATTATTCTAGTTGTTTCTAGGCTACACAGAGTGTCCTCTCTGACCTTCCTCCTCATATGCTTCTCCTTTATTACCTTTTATGTGCCTTCTGTTGAGTCTCATTTCTGATATTAATTCACTTCCAATGTTTTTCATGTTGGGGTGATACTTTTTCTGAGGTGGGGATAGGTAGTTGTCCTACAAGTTGAGGTACTTTTCTTACTGTCTGTATGCCTGTGTACATATCTGCTGAGTAGGAGGCCCATGGGGGGATCTGGAGCCAGGGTTGTGTTTTGCCTGCTCTCTTTTTTGTTCAGAATGGATTATAAGGAGTAGAATGCACATTGTTGCTTTAGAAAAGGATGAGGGAACTAGAGAGAACTGCCTTGTTTCCTTTTGCTTGAGGCAAACCTAAACTGTATACAAGACCTCAAAATTTGAGAAGAGGTCTTTTCTGAGTGATTTTCAAATCTCCCAACAGTAAGCAGATACTTATGGTTTGATTTGTCACCAACATAGTCATATGCATGTTGAAACATGACATGTAGGCCAGGCACAGTGGCTCACACCTGTAATCTTAGCACTTTGGGAGGCTCAGGCAGGCGGATCGCTTGAGCCCAGGTGTTTGAGACCAGTCTGGGCAACATGGTGAAACCCCATCTCTATAAAAAACACAACAATTAGCTGGGTGTGGTGGTGCACGCCTGTAGTCCTAGCTACTCAGGAGGCTGAAGTGGGAGGATCACTTGAGCCTGGGGAGGTTGAGACTTTAGTGAGCTGTGATGGTGCCACTGCACTCCAGCCTGGGTGACAGAGTGAGACCCCGTTTGAAAAACAAAAACCAAAATAAATGTGACATATAGGTGACTAAGAAGTACATTTCAATACAGGATTGAAAGAACCCACATATGTTAAAACACAAGTGCAGAATTTGTGCCTCTCACATAAAGGAAGAATGCACATAGGCATGCTTTAAAACAAGCAGCTCATCTAGCAGAAAATGAAGGAATACATTTTTCAGTCCTTCCAGGAGAAAATCCATAAATGGGCTCTATTTCGTCCTCCAACACTTGTATTTTCCACGTCATTTACTCCTGCACACCCCCGCTCACTAGAAGCCTGCTAAACTGTTCCAGTGGGATATTTTAATACCTTGTAGGGAATAAATATGCTTCTGTTTTGGCCTTCAAAAATAAAGTCTGGGCCGGGTGCAGTGGCTCACGCCTGTAATCCCAACAGTTTGGGGGGCCGAGGCGGGCGGATCACGAGGTTGAGTTTGGGACCAGCCTGGCCAATATGGTGAAACCCTGTCTCTACTAAAAATGCAAAAATTAGCCGGGAGTGGTGGTGCACGCCTGTAATCCCAGCTACTCGGGAGGCTGAGGGAGAAGAATCACTTGAACCTGGGAGGCACAGGTTGCAGTGAGCCGAGATCACACCACTGCACTCTAGGATGGGTGACAGAGCAAGACTCTGTCTCAAAAAAAAATAATAACTCTGTAGCACAGCATTTGTAATTCTATTATTTTTGCCTTACATTTCCATTAATAAAACTGTTTTTTAATTTTTTAAATTGTTTCCTTTTAATAAAATTGTTTTTTACATCTTCCTAATCAAGAAGTATTATGAGGCCAGGCACAGTGGCTCACGCCTGGAATCCCAGCACTTTGGGAGGCCGAGGTGGGTGGATCACCTGAGGTCAAGGAGTTCAAGACCAGCCTGGCCAACATGGTGAAACCCCAGCTCTACTAAAAATACAGAAATTAGCTGAGTGGGGTGGTGCACGCCTATAATCCCAGCTACTTGGGAGGCTGAGATAGGAGAATTGCTTGAACCCAGGAGGCAGAGGTTGCAATGAGCTGAGATCGTCCCACTGCACTCCAGCCTAGGAGACAGAGCGAGACTCCATCTTAAAAAAAAAGGAAAGAAAAAGTATTATGAGAGAGGATAATGTATGGTAGAGGCTAAATAAAATTATGCTCATGTCAGAAAAAAAAGTATTTCTCAAAATTCACTGAAACTGAATGTTTATTTTGACTGAGATATAGTAGATCCTCAAATTGCCATAGAAAGTTTAGAAGAATATTAGAAGTAAATTATAAATATCAGGGCCTTTTTTTTTTTTTAAAGGATTCTGCTTATAACTTAGTATTTGTTTATAATAAAAATTATAGTAGCCAATAATAAACACTTACTCTGGCTTGGTTATTTACTTAGGTCAAAAGAAGGAGGAGCGGTTAAACTGTGGGATCAGGAACTGAGGCGGTGCCGTGCCTTCAGGCTTGAGACAGGACAAGCCACAGATTGTGTTCGTTCTGTGTGCAGAGGCAAAGTAAGATGTTCCGTGAGCTGATACAGTGCAGCGGAAAATAGAAAGTGGTTATTACTGTGATTCTCTCACCCTTTGCTGCTTAATGAACAATACTTAATAATGCATAAAGATGGATTTGCTTGCCAGCATTACTCTGTCTTTGCTGCTTTCTTTGCCAAAGTTAGGACCAGTGTGGTGCATAAGCTAGGAAGCTATTCTGTTTAAATACTGTATGTAAAACTCCAATATTTTCTAGAATCCGCCAATTCAACAACTCTAGTAAACAGAATTGAAAACCCTTGCCAGTTGATTCATTTATATTAGGACAGCTGTCTCCATTTTCTTAAAAAACATACATTCCCTAGATAAAATATGTAATAAACAAACAATGGAATACTATTCAGCCATAAAAAATAATGAAATTCTGTCATTCTTGGTGGCAACATGGATGGGACTGGAGGACATGACGTGAAGTGAAACAAGCCAGGCACAGAAAAATACATGTTCTCACTCCTATGCAGAAACTAAAAACGTTGATCCCACAGAGGTGGAGAGTAGAATAGTGGTTACTGGAGGCGGAGAAGGGGGAGGAGGAGGGGGATAGGGAAGGACTGGTTAAAGGATACAGTTTTACACAGCCAGATAGGAGCAGTACCTTGTAGTATTCTGTAGTACTGTAGGATGACTGTAGTTAAGAATCACGCATTTATGTATTTTCAGATACTTACAAGAGAGGATTTTGAAAGTGTCCATCACAAAGAAATGATAAATGTCTGAGGTGATGGTTATGCACATTACCGTACGCCCCATAAATATGTACAATTCTGTGTCCATTTCAAAATAAAACTTCAAAACTACAATTCCTATGGAAATTTTTGAGCGTGTTTGTACTTATTGTATATTTATAAATCATACGGATATTATCTTCAGTCTGCTTATTAAATAGTAATTAAGCTTTCACTTTTTAACTAAAAAATAAATTCTAGTACTGTTTTCCTATATCCAACTGCACTTACCCTGTTTGGAGATCCTAAGATTATCAAATAAAAACTTTTGATTATTGAAGAATCCAGGTGTACTGCCACAGAAAAGTTCTGTTCTGTAGCATGGACTCTAATAGGTAATCCAGCCCAGTGTGCTTACAGATAGATGTGTGCCTGTAGTCATAGAAAAATTTGCATGAGCTAATGACTGCCTTGCTACTAGATTAGCTCAAAGCAAAAAGTTCTTGGAAAGCAGGTCAATAGAGTCATTTTTATATTATGAAGAAGAGCAGCTGTTGTATTACATTCAATGTATTGGTCCTACTTGTGTTTCAGGGCAAGATCCTTGTTGGGACAAGGAATGCTGAAATAATCGAAGTTGGAGAGAAAAATGCAGCTTGTAATATTTTAGTTAACGGTCATGTGGATGGGCCAATCTGGGGACTAGCAACCCATCCTTCCAGGGATTTTTTCCTTTCTGCTGCAGAAGATGGGACGGTGAGACTTTGGGATATTGCTGATAAAGTAAGTACGGATAATTTTTTAAAAGAGGTTACGATTTCTGAAAAGAAAAGTTGGAAGTTCTAAATTGCTAGTGCTTAAAGAACTATCTCAGAATTAAGTTGAGAATTTTTGAGGGCAACGGGTTTAATTTAGCAGTACTTAATGTTGTTTCCTATGACTTTTTTTTTTTTAATGCAGAAGATGTTAAACAAAGTGAATTTGGGGCATGCTGCTCGTACTGTGTGTTATAGCCCTGAAGGGGACATGGTGGCTATTGGAATGAAAAATGGAGAATTTATCATTTTACTAGTGAGTTCTCTAAAAATATGGGGAAAGAAGAGAGACAGGAGATGTGCAATCCATGATATCAGGTTAGTGAACACATGGAATAGAGTTGCTAGTATGTACTTGATTCAACTTCCATTTGAAGAGTTTTCCTTAGCCATGCCTTCAAAAAGAGGTCCCCAGGGCCTGTAGCATTTCCCACATTATAAATTGTATGCTAAAATATGGCTGTTTGTATACTTACTTAATTCTTCTTGCTAAATTATAAACCCACTGGGCACCAACCACGGTGCCTTATAATAGCAAGTACTAGTAGGTAATGTTTGATGAATTCATGTTAACACTCAGCCATGTCCATTAAGTTCATTCTGCCAAGAGGTATCTCCCACTGTAACACAAGAGAGCCATCTGCCCTTCAAAAGTTGTCACCCTGGAAAACTAAAGTTGTGATTCCAAACATATCTTCTCTTAATAGCCTCAGTTTGGGAATATGTAGTTCATTAGTTTAATCAATACCTATTGATTAAATGTTCCAGAATCCAGATTAATTTAAATGTTTCTTAAACCTTTGATTTTCAGTGCTTAAGCATTTTTCAACAGTGGCTACCATTTACTGAGTACTTCTATGTGATCAGTAGATAAGATTATTGAATCTAGGTCTGTCAAAAGCTTGTACACTTTTCATCAGTAAAATCCTTTTACAAATGAAACCTTCCTCAGAACTTCAATATATAAAACAGTAACAGTGGCTTCCCTTAGCTTTTACATGTCCCTGTGGTACCTCAATAAGACTCATGGGCTATTTCAAGAGACTGAATTGTCTCACATGACTCCAGGGATTGCTAGGCAAATAGCACATCACTTTGTCTTTTAAATAAGTTCTTCAGGTCGGGCGTGGTGGCTCACGCCTGTAATCCCAGCACTTTGGGAGGCCGAGGCAGGCAGATTGCCTGAGTCCAAGAGCTTGAGACCACCAGCCTGGCCGACATGGTGAAACCCTGTCTCAACTAAAAATACAAAAATTAGCCAGGCGTGGTGGCAGGCGCCTGTAATCCCAGCTACTGGGGCGCCGAGACAGGAGAATCGCTTGAACCTGGAAGGCAGAGATTGCGCCATCACACTCCAGCCTGGGGGAGAAGAGTGAGACTCCGTCTCAAAAAAAAAGAAATTCTTCCAAGCTTCAAGTTGTGTCCCTTCACCTTAATAACTGGAGGTTAGTTAAGCTGAGCTGTGTTCTTTGCTTAATATTAAGACAACGTTTTTTTCCAGATGGAAGAAAACTATCTTAATGAATTGTTAGCTTATTATGTAATGCCAATGGCTTTTAAAAGCTGATGTTTTGGCTGGGTGTGGTAGCTCACACCTGTAATCCCTGTACTTTGGGAGGCCAAGGGGGAAGGATTGCTTGAGGCCAAGAGTGTGGGACCAGCTGGGCAACATAGACCCCGCCTCTATTTTAAAAATTTAAATTTTTCTTTTTTTTTTTTTTGAGGCAGAGTTTCGCTCTTGTTGCCCATGCTGGAGTGCAATGGCGCAATCTCGGCTCACTGAAACCTCTGCCTCCCCGGTCAAGCGATTCTCCTGCCTCAGCCTCCCGAGTAGCTGGGATTACAGGCATGCACCACCACACCTGGCTAATTTTGTATTTTTAGTAGAGACAGGGTTTCTCCATGTTTGTCAGGCTGGTCTCAAACGCCCGACCTCAGGTTATCTGCCTGCCTCCGCCTCCCAAAGTTCTGGGATTACAGGCGTGAGCCACCGGGCCCGGCCTAAAAGAGGTTTTTTAAACCATGAGATGTTTTTAAAGGAATTGGGAGATGACAATTGCAGAAATATTTGAAATTGAAGTAAAATATAAAGCTTCCTTATTTCATGTAACCCAGACAATCTCAGTATACATAATCAGTTGTATCTGTCAGGTAAATCTATTTGAGGCCATATCACACATTACTTTTAAGAACTAGAAAGGAAAAGTCACTGATCTTAAATATAATACTTCATGTGGTCTAATACTTTTTACATGTTTTGTTTTGATTCAGATTTAGTCCGGATTCCCGGTATCTGGCAGTGGGTTCTAGTGAGAACTCAGTGGATTTTTATGACCTGACATTGGGCCCCACTCTTAACAGAATCAGCTACTGCAAAGACATTCCAAGCTTTGTCATTCAAATGGACTTCTCTGCAGACAGCAGATATCTCCAGGTACAGTACCAATACTGTATACCCAGGTGGCAAGTTCTGCTTTTACATTTCGTGTTAGTGAATGTATTTGAAGCTCCTCAGCTCTGGAGCTCCAGCTTCTCAACTCCTACCTTTGTATCTTCCGACCTACAGCTCCCCTTTCCTTCCCCACTTATCAGTGCTTTTCTCCTCTAAGTTTATGTAGTGATCTTTTGCATAGTTAATAATGTTGACATGTAAATCAAGTAGCAATATGCTAGTATTCTGTAAACCCCCTGTGGATTTTGTCTCTCACCTAATGGAATTCTTGTCCCATTTGAATCTGGTGAAAGGTCTCCAGTGGCTGCTATAAACGGCATGTCTACGAAGTGCCTTCAGGAAAACATCTTATGGATCATGCCGCTATTGACAGAATTACTTGGGCTACATGGACTAGGTAAATACTTATATATTCACAAGGCAAGGACTGACTTTGAAGGCCAGTTAGAAAAATTGGAAAATCCTATTTCTGAGCTGTTAGAGCAATTCCACTAAGGAATAGTAATTGCGTTTCAAGTTTTTGTTACCATATTTTGAAATGGTATGTTCATGTTGGGACCCCTTTTTATTGAATGTATTTCCATGTTTTATCAGTTTCCATGATTTATCAATTTTTTTTTTTAAGGAAATCAAAGTTTTAACTTTAAAGATACCCTGATATTTTTCTTAACATTAAATTTAATGACTGGCAAAACGGTATTGGGTGCTGTTAAGCAACTGTTATTAGTTCTCTCTCTAAAGGAATGCTATCTTGAATCTATTAGAAGTCAAAGCTTCCAAATTTGTTCAAATTTTCTGGCTGTATGACAGGTAACCATGACTATCCATTTTTTTGGTCAATGAAAAAGGCCATCAAATTCCTCTATCAGCCAGGCATATAGTGGCTCATGCCTGTAATCTCTGATGCAGCAGGCCGAGGTGGGAGGATCACTTGAGCCTAGGAGTTTGAGACCAGCCTGGGCAACATAGCGGGACCTCATCTCTGAAATCTTTTTAAAAATTCCTATGTCATAAGTCACTTTTATTTTTGTAGAGATAGGGATCTCTACAAAATAGAGATCTCTATTGTAGAGATAGGGATCTCTACAAAATGCCCAGGCTGGTCTCAAACTCTTGGCCTCAAGCAGTCCTCCTGCCTCAGCTTCCCAAAATGTTGGGATTACAGGTATGTGCTGCCGGACCCAGCCAAGTAGCACTTTTAATTTGAAAAATAGTGCTCTCAGTTTTTGGCCAGGTGCAGTGGCTTACGCCTGTAATCTCAGCACTTTGGGAGGCTGAGGGGGCTGATCACCTGAGGTCGGGAGTTCGAGACTAGCCTGACCAACATGGAGAAACCCTGTCTCTACTAAAAATACAAAATAAGCCAGGCATGGTGGCGCATGTCTGTAATCCCAGCTACTCGGGAGGCTGAGGCAGGAGAATTGCTTGAACCCGGGAGGCAGAGGTTGCAGTGAGCTGAGATCGTGCCATTGCACTCCAGCCTGGGTAACAAGAGCGAAATTCCGTCTCAAAAAAAAGAAAAAAGAAAAAAAATAAAAATAGTTCTATCAGTTTTCATAAAGTACTACTTTAATCTTAAAAGGATTAATCTAGAAACCCTTCAAATTATAAAATTACATTTTTAAAAGGCAGGAGTTGATATCCTGATGAAATTCAGGTCTCCAAACAACTTGCCTTACCATGATTTACTTCCTGTATGTTAATTGCCAAGAAACTTTTTGAATATAGTCAACCTGCCCGCACTTGCTATGAGTTTTCTTTTGTTCCTTCCCTATAGTATTCTAGGAGATGAGGTTTTGGGAATCTGGTCCAGACATGCTGAGAAAGCTGATGTCAACTGTGCCTGTGTATCTCATTCAGGAATCAGTCTTGTAACAGGAGATGACTTTGGCATGGTTAAGTTATTTGACTTCCCATGTCCAGAAAAATTTGTAAGTTTGTGTTTTGTTTACTATTATCAGTTTACTCCTAATTTTGATGTCGTATCATCAGCACTTTTTCTCGTGTATTTAAAATGTTTTGTCCTAGTTTCTAAATTTTTCCTCAAACTTTCTAAATCTGTTTACTCTGAAATAAAAGCTATTAGAAACAAATCCTCTCCCTCGAGTAATACCGTCTTTGGAACTATCCTACAAAAGCAGTAATTAGCTTTTCACGAAACCTATCATCAGTTATCGAATTTCAAATGCTTTTCCTTAGAGAAAAATTGTGAAGAGTACCTGGAGACTTCTGACTGCCCACACAGCCGGGTTTTGCAGATCCATTACTCACGCTGAAAATGCATTCTAATCACTGGCTGCAGTGGTAACTCCCTACTCTCTCCACAGCTCTTGTAATAGAGATTACAGTTCCTAATAAGATCCTTTGATGTAAGTGTGCACCAAACGCCCTAAGCTCTGTCATTGTTTTTTAGGCAAAACACAAAAGGTTCTTGGGTCATTCGCCCCACGTGACAAATATTCGATTTACCAGTGGTGATCGACATGTTGTTAGTGCTGGAGGTGATGACTGCAGGTTAGTAACTTTCTCAGCCCATGAAGAAGAGCAGACTATGTTACTAGTTAAGAGACAATATAACAACTCCTACAGCTTTGGTTTATGAAACCAGCTAGTCAACATTTGCAGAAGGTAGTATAACCAGATGGCTCTTCAGAATCTCATCCTTAAATGCAAATACAGAATAAAAGGAGTTAATGAGGAAAAATATTACACATGTGTAACTTGAAAGCTCAAATGTAAAATATTAAACTGTTATGAAAATCTAAAAACGTAATTAACTCCCTGCAATTTTCTTCTCTGATTGCAGCTTACTTGTCTGGAGATGTGTACATACGCCTCACTGAGAGATGCTGAGATGACTACACAAATTAACCCTGAGACCAGAATTACAGAGAAGAAAAACCAAAACCCAACCCTGCATGGTCAAGTGGTGCTAACCTAAGACTGTAACAGGGAGAAATGCCCAGAATCATCAAAATAGTGAAAGACTGATCTGTTCAAAATATTTGCTATATACACTGGGTATAATCCATAATCCATACACTGCCAGATAATGCCATTTCAAGGAAGGATCGAATACTTGATGGTCAAGGCCAAGTCCCCCTGTATTGGGAAGTGTGCGATTTCGGCAGACCTGCTGGGAAAATTTAGGGTGGAGCACTCTTTACAGAAAAACTCAAAAACCCAATTTGGATAATTTTCATCATCTTTTTAGCAAAATGGTTTCTTAGTGTTTATATTTTATTTTCAAGGTTCATTGTTTAATGAAATATTTTATTCTTGCATTTCCATAAGGAAAGGGAAAGTAATGATCACCCTAAAGGATCACAGTTTTTAAAAGGCAAACATTTTCCCTAAGGAAACAGACACAAGCTTTCCTGGAGAATATGATGTTTTTTAGGCATTAATAAAGTCCTTTTTTATAAAGGACACTTTTCTCCTGGTAGTTTTGAATTCAGGAACAGATCTAAAGTTAGCAGTATATGGCTGCTACATTTCCATTTTCATTTTCAAGCCATCAGTTTATGTTCAGACGCCATCTCTGTAATCGAACATTTAAAACGTAACTGTAGCCTCACTAATGGAAAAGTAGTACGATGAACAATCATTCCCAATGGTGTACAGTTTAAGGGTTTTAGGGAGCAACAGTATTTAACTGGAAGAGAGTATTGCATATTTAATGTAGTCTAATATACACACATTTGTTTAACATGTAAACAGTGTTAAATTCACATATACAACATTATACAATTAATCACTCTTGGAATAAAATTTTTATAGCTTTTTTTCTATTGGGAAAATTTGTTTAGCTAGATGTGTGCCACTCCATAGGCTTATTTCCAAAATGAATGAACCCAACTCCATTTGTAAAAACTTGTCAGTTAGAATTCCTTTTTTAGAGGATTAGGGCTGAATTCTTAGATCCTTATTTCTTTTCACTTTAAATGCTGCCAAAGATCAGTACTCAGAGTTCAGGAATTTGCTGTCTAGCCTATCTGTAGTTTCCTGAAGATGGAAAATTATGTAGACTGCTATTTAAAAATATATTTTTCTAAGTGTGAGGTTTAAGATCTGTATTGACCCTATGAGTTTTTAATGTGTTAATTATCTTTACAGCATAATAGATTGCTTTAGGTTCCTGGAATCCCATTTGGTCTGACAGGATATATGAAGATTATTAATACCTATTTTCTGTGTCTACTACTTGGTTAATACTAAAAATAGAAATGACTAAATTACATCACAGAAAGCATAACCAGTGATTGAACCTGGTAGTTTTAAAGCTCTGAACAGCTGTGGCTGAAGGACTGATAATGGGGCTAAGAAGCTTGAAACGTAAGTTGGTACTCGTTCATCAATGGATTCTCCTAAATTAAGCCAAAATTTGAAATACATGACCATTAAGTTTCTACTCATGTATTTACAGTCAGTCAATAAATTAAAGGGGGAAAAAAAAATCCCTGAACAACCTGCCCATAAAAAGAAAAATACTCCTCTACATCTGAGCCTGTTGCAGTTTTAAATTTTCCCTCTGGGTCAAGTTTGCCAGCTTTTGGCTACAGAGGAATTATATTTCCATTACAGTGCAGGTAGAAACTCTGTAACCTTAAGCATGTAAACTACATAGAATAAAACTGTTTCCACTGCATTTCTGTCCTTCAAAGTGGCCAACCTGATTAAGTCAGCCTTAATCACTGCTGCTGTCAGTTTCACGACTAAAGGTCACATTGACTAAGTAGTCATCCCCTGACCACCTCGCTGTATCAGCCAGCAACGAGGGGACGGTGAAGAAACATGTTAGGCCATATAGAATCTGCCCTATGTCTACCTTTTTTAACCCAGCAAATTATTTTTGTGTGCAGTATCTAAGCTCCTGATTGTGTAACCTGGGACTTCTGGCACCTTTTGTTCCGTTTTATGTATAAAATGCATGCCAAAGCACACCGTGCACTCTGGTACCCCTCGCTTCCAGTCGCCAACCGTGCTCATTTCCGTCTTTTTGTGGTGATCATTTTAGACCAAGTCATCCAACAAATGTTTTATGGTCAACCTTAGCTTGTTTGTAAGCCATAGCAACTGAAAGATTACACTCTTAAATGTGTGTCTGGGCAGTGTCTATTAAGTAGCAAAAAACAATGAGATTTTAGTATTTTATTTCCTTGTAAAATGGCTGAACTAAATGAAGCCCTTGTTCCCCATTTGTTCTTTATAGTGAAACTGAGAACGAAACTATTTACCATTTATAAATGATAGCTGAAAGTATTTCCAGAAATTTAAACAATTTAAAATAAATTTCTTCTGCAGAGATGCAAAGCATCTCAATGCTGGAATGAATAAATGCCTTAAATTCAATGGATTAAACTTTTAGAATGAAGAGGAACTGTCATTTCACCCAAGCCGAAGACAACAGCCTTATGCGCTTGTGTGCTCTGTCCTTGCTGCTTCTCGTGTTTCAAGCCTTTCCTGTGGGATCAGTGCAGCAAAGTGCAACTTACCAAATGGTTTAATGACTGGTTAATTCTTTCTTCTCCCAATGGAAAAGCAATGGCAACACAACAGTAGACTGCCTGCTTGACAGTCTTAAACATGAGCCTTTGCGCACGTAGGTGTTTATCATTTGGGTATATGACTAAGCAAGTCAATGCACTTTTTTTTTTTTAGCAGTTAATTTGGTCCTGAGAATGTTGCAGTCTTTATTACCCCTTTTGCATTAATCCACTTTTCTAATCACCTTTTAAGCTTTAATTTTTAACACTATACACCAAGTCTTTGAAATCAGTGATCTGTTATTTAACTCTAAAGCATTTGACACTTCTTGCCTTAACAGTTTTAAAAACCACACACACAAAAAGCTCTGTAAGTAATACAGTAGGCCAAAAGTTTCATCCTATCTTGCAGTTTACCTATCTGATCTCTGTAATCATAGTTCTGTCATTTAAAATATACTATTTAAATCTAATTTTTACATTTCAAAAATTATCTTCAGTAGTAACTAAGTATATTTTCTGTGGAGCTATTTCTGAGAATGTTATTTTTCAGAATGTGAGAATACATATGTACATTTATAATCTTGTGACTTTAAAGTCTGTTTTCGGATACCGTATGTAAATACTTGTAAAAAAATTTGTATAATTTTGTGATAATGTAGTTTCCCAAAATATTTATTTAGAAGGCATTACGTTATCAGTAAATGAGAGCACTGTATAGAACTGTTCCTATTTTCTGCACCTGCCATTCCAGCTGTCTCCACCGTCCATACCCACCTCATTCATCCTGTCACAGAAGGCAAGAAAACTGGGAACTTTACCAAAGTAGCACTCAGCCTGAGAGGCCTGTATAATCCGTTTCAAACTAAATTCATTTAAAAATTAAAAAGCAGAACTGAATATTTTAAGCAGCCTCAGTACCTTTGGCCAATGCTGTTTTCGTGGTGGATTATGAACATTATATAATCTTTGGGAAAAGTGAAAGCAGTTCAATTTTTAGAAGAATGACAACTGCCTCACTGCATCTCTCCACTCACAGCAACCGTGTAGCCCCCTAAGCTGAGTACCATTACTAACCATGATGTCAATTTCCTATGCCGATCCTCACAACAGCAGTGCACACACGCCCCAAATATTTTAACAGAATTTAGCTCTTCCTTAAGCTGTCTTTTCATAGTAAAAACAAAACAAAAACACCCAATGTTAAAATCACTTAATAAACTTACAAACTTGAAAAATTAGACACTTCAGATAGATAGGCAATAAAACTTCATATTATGAAAGCAATATATTCCAAGTTTCAAAGATTTGACAAGTTCTGTAGAGTGTCTTTCATCAGTACATGGAAACTTCCAAACTGCATGATCTTCTGCCAGGCAGGACTGGGTGCTATTCGCTGAGTGAACAGAACCAAAAATTGTTTTAATTATCTGCTTTGTATCCATATATACCATATATCTCAGTTTAAAAAGCTGACTAGTTTCAGGCAATAAATATTTGGTCATAGGATTACAATACAAAGGGCAGATTTTTTACAAGAATTCAATTATGTCAGGTAGATAAAAGATAATACCATACACGTGATTAGATTTTTAGGCCGCACTAAAATATTCTAAAACTTCCTTTCAGTATTTCCCAGTTGCTAATGTCAAAGAAAATGGATGTGAAATTCAAGTACAGTACATGTATATATACTCTTGCTGGCCATTATATATGCTTGCATAGTATGTAATGAGAAGTTAAAATCTGGCTGGCTCATGCCTGTAATCCTGGTACTTTGGGAGGCCACGGTGGAAGGATATCGCTTCAGCTCAGAAGTTCAAGACCTCTTCTCTCCTTAAAATTTAAAAAATTAGCCAGGTGTCGTGGCACATGCTTGTAGTCTCAGCTACAAGTGGGAGGCTGAGGTGGGAGGATCGATTGAACCCCGGGGGTTTGAGGCTGCAGTGAGCTATGACAGTGTGACTGCACTCCAGCCTGGGCAACAGAGCAAGATAATCTAGGTTAAAAAAGTAACCACTGGATAAGATAAAATTTAGCCCATGTAGTAAATTATTTTGCCAAAGGACCCTTGTATAAATTAAACAGCAAAGAAAAAAATTCAAAGTAACAGTCTAGTTTCCAATTTTGTGTGCTTATAAATTAAGAAACTGCAAATTAGAAAAAAGAATTTGAAATGACATTAGAAAAACTAATTTGAATGTTTACCTGGTTTGAGGTCGAATCCATTTCAAGGCATGTCGTGGTGGAACATTAATGGTGGGATGGTAGAATGTGCAGTCCGGTCTTGTACACTGAGTGTTAAACCTACAGTGCTGAATAGAAATAACAGAGCTTCAACAACATCCACAAGGCTAATATAAGTAAACACATTATTTTATTATTTGAGACAGGGTCTTACGCTGTCACCCAGGCTGGAGTGCAGTGGCATGACCTTTTGCCTCAGCCTCCCAAGTAGCTGTGTACTACTATGCCTGGTTATTTATTTTTTTTAAGAGATGGGGTCTCACTATGTTGCCTAGTCTGGTTTCAAACTCCCGGGGTCAAATGATCCTTCCACTTCTGCCTCTACCTCCCAAAGTACTAGGATAACAGGCCTGACCCACCCCACCTGGTCAACATACAACTTAAGAGACAATAACCAGCCCACCCTAACCATTAACAGAGAAAGAGATTCCATCTATAAGGACCATTTTAATACTAGTGAAGCCTTGAAAAATGTACTTACCCTTGAGACAAAAAATTCTAGTCAAAGAATCACAGCAAGTAAAATTTCAAATGTAGTTTAGCATACCCTAAAAACTTCTAATTATCCCTTACACTCTTCACTGAGTACCCTCAGCTATGCCCAGTTACAGATGGGGCAAGTGAAGGCCTTTCATATGGTCCTCAGGCTACCAGGGCAAGAAGGAGATAATTCATTCTGACCAAGTAAACATCTGGAGATTCATCAACCATCATCAATCTTTAACACGCAGATAAAACCATCAGTACAAGTTTGGATGGTTTTAAGCAGTACCTACTGGATTTCATCATCTCAGTTCTGGCATTAGGTTCAAACCGCTCCCCCACCCCCGCCAAAACCCACCCATATATTTAAATGCAGGGAATAATGGAAAATGTGACTAGCAAAGATATGCTTCTCCCCACTGAGTGCTTACGATACTAACAATAAATAGTTTCAGACCACTTAGCCTAAGGGGCCAGACGGAAGTTCAATGACAATGAAGGAATAACTTAATAGATTTTACTGGCAAAAATTGCAATTGCTTTTGTACCAACGTAGTAACTCTGACAAAAAAGAAGGTAAATGA